ATTCTTAAGTATTAGCCTACGGTCCGACGAAGGGAATATATTCCTGCTAAGGAAGATATAATAGAAGTAGCGAACTGGATTAAAATTCGAGACCCCGAGGACCTAATAAAAGAGGTAAACGCCTAGATTATTAGGAGAAATCTAAGGCGTCTAAAGTGGTTTGCTATTACTCTGGATAGTAAAAACCCGGCTTTCCCTAATCTCTAAAGGGGTTATTAGCTAAACTCCGCCGACTATCTAGGGGTGCTCGACGAGTATATAAAATATAGCGATAATATTATCCTTTTAAGGGGGGACGTAAGCACGCTAAGATCTTATAAGAGTCCGGAGGATTTTAAGCTTAACCTGGTTCTAAAGATGCCCTAGGGTAAGCTGTTTTATATAGATACCCTAGGTTCGGTAAACGGGTATACTATATTAATAATCTCTAAGACGGCGATAATTAAGAAATAAAGGAAACCGGATACTATTAATCTCCTAGAAACATAAGCGGAAGATACTAGATAGGATAACTTCTTAAAGAGTTATCGATTATAGGATAGGATCCGAATAAGGGCTATAAGGCAGTAGTAGTTTATATTTGGTTTTATTACGCTTTGCTATTCTGCTTTATTATTTCGAAAGTTTTAGTATAGGCAGGTCCCCTGGCTTTCTAGAGTGATTTCTAGTGGATTTTAGAAGTAATAATAGTTTAAGAATATCCTAGTCTTAGTCTATATATTTAACCCGTACTATAGCGTCTCTACCCCGTATTATAGTATCTCTACTATACTAAGGTAAGGAGCGGGCTAGCTAACTTAAGTATAATATTAGTATAGTCGATAACGCGTGGGTAGATATCGCCGTGTATCCCTAGTCTCTAATACGTTAATACGTGGTCCCGGAATTAGTTAAGCTATTCGCTGGCTTCCGCTAGACTAAGATATCTAAGTCCCTTCCGCGGAAGATTATAAGTGATCGATCTCTACCGTTAAGTGCGAGTATAGCCCCTTTCTTAATAGGAAATCCCTAGTTAAGCTATAGTCGGATAGCGACTCGTCCCTAAATTAGTTAGTCTAAGGCCTAGAATCCTATAGAAATAGATAAGTTAGGTATTAAAAAGGCACTTCTGATATACTTAGTCTATATATCCGTATATCCCTTAGCTAATCCCGGTCGCTTAATTAAGTATTCGATTTAAATCTAATTCGATTATACCGGTCTCGCCGTCCTATACTAAGAAATTCGCTTTAAGAGCTAAGTATCCCTAGTTAATAGTCGTCCGTCGCTAGGTAGCTACTTATTTTTTATAAACTTCTATCTATAATATCTTTCTCTCTACGAGATTAAGCACTAGTAGCCCTTAGTCTCTTACCTATCCCTATTACGATACGTATTAGAATATATTAGCATTTTCCAGTGCTTAAGCATATAACCTTTAATATAAACCCTTAGCTATTCCCTATAATCTATACGGTATTCGAGATTATATTCTATATATCCTCCGTTACTTACTTAGTGATTTTTATCTTAGGCCTGCTAGATAAGAGATTTTCCTCGGTTAGTCTCTATCTAATAACTACTTCTAACTATATAGCCGAGGTAAGTCCCTTCCTTACTAAAAGCCTCGTACCTAATATATCTCTAGAAAGCTATATAGGTCGCGGTAAGCTAGATAAGGAGGTTTATTATAGTAGAATAACTAGCTAGTCTTTTATTCTCCGGGGTACTCGTACTAGTTATATTACGACTTAAACCGGGATAGAAGCGTAACTCGGTTATCGTGGGCTATATTAACTTATACCTTTTATTTTCCACCGCTATTATCGTTATATTAGTACGGAAAGATCCTCGCTACTAGCGAAAATAGCTTAAGCTTATACTTATCGCTACCGCCCTGATTATTAACTTTATTTCTATAATTCCCGCCCTTAAGATATACTTCCTCTTTATAAGTAGTATACTAAAGACCGTAATATCAGAGCTAATGTCCTAGATCCTCTTATATATATCGACCCCTATTAGCGTTTTACGTCCCCGTGAGCCCTTTAGGTATACTATAATATCTATCGTGATACAGAATTTATAGCGCTATAACTTGTCCCGAGGAATTATTAAAGGAGGATTAAGCGTTTACTAGTAAGATAATATGCGGAGCTTAAATAGCTTTAGGCTCTGGATAGGGCTTAGTCTATCCACGGAGTAGCCCTAAGGTGATAGTGCTTATCGTCGCCTAGAATTCGATAGAGGACGTGTAGAGTAAAGCCGCGGCGAGGTAGCCTAGAGTCCGCTTTAGTATACCTTATTCGCGATAGTAATAGGTGTTAACCCCCTTTACGGTACACGGTATATAGTATAAGAATAAGGATCTGGTAGATTAGGTATAGCTATCCGGCGGGGATAGGATCTACGAACTGTATGAGAAATCTTAATATCCTAAATTCATTATCAGGGCCTAAGAGATGTATATTCTAGCTACTTATAGACGTAATTAGGTGGCTCGGATATTATAAGAAGATTACTGGGCCTGATAAATAGCCTTAGTGCTTATAGCGCTATTTAAGGCAGCACCTATATACTACTGATATAAAGGGAAATTCCCGACTTATAGATCTTTGTCCGATACTAAACTATATCCTGCTATAGACTATGACTGGTAATTAGGCACTAATTCTTGAAAGCAGCTATTATAAAACAGTAAATTAGTCCTGTCGTGATAGTAAAGACGTGATAAACTGACTAATAAGTATCGGAGAATAGTAGCGAAACGCGGCGATTTTACTAGTAAGGTTACCCCGGAGGCGTTTTAGTACTAGTAAGGTGGTGAATAGCTTACTAGGCGATAATATATTTCCCCTTTC